TCATAAGTGTCGTTCTTGCTGGGACGATGCATCCTGATATATTGGGATAAGGTCTGCCATGAATATCTTTGGGCAAAGTGTTGATTTGGCTCAACTTATTTTGAAAGATATACAATTCTGTAAGTCTGGATACATTCGACAAGATAGTACTTCGGCATTTTCGAACATGCTGAAAAAGTGCATGTGTTACTTGACCCTTTTTACGACAGTGATTCACCCAGGGTGTTGGCAGGTACCTAGGAGTAGTCTGTGATCTTGTTTTGAATTTGTGCCAACTAAGTGACGGTCGCGAGGGCGTGTCCTCCATCCATCGCCCTAGCATGATAGTACTTTGTTATCTTAGGAAAAATTCCGATTCCAAAAAACCATTGTGTGTGTTTTCCTTCCTCCATGGTAGAACTTAGCATAACACCAAGCTTTGCGTGCATTGAGTTGATATTTCATCTCCCCTGGTCCAAGCCAAAACGAAGCACCCATCATCGAAGCTTGTCATTTATCATATTAATTTTCGGCAGCTCAATCCACTCCTCCTCCACCCATGATCCCCCACAGGTACATGTTTACACTCCTATAAAGACCACACTTCGCCACTTGAACAACCGTCAATTGGTGGTGCGATAAGCTTGATCATTTATTTCGCGGGCGAGCTGGTGGATGGAGGGCCCAGGACGCCAGGCGCTATGGCGCGAAGAATAGACCCGTCTGGCTGGGCTATCTCATCACCGCTTATTCGCCGGTTGGTTTGGAATGAGACCTATTGGAGTGTGGTGGATGATGAAAGGGCCCAACAGGGGTTATCAGGTAGACATGACGGCTCTATCGTCCGTCAAAGCTCACGTGAATTATTGTAACTTGTATCAATCTAATTGTATTGTCATTATTATCAGACGATTTCACAGACTTGAACACATAATATTAATAATGGGCGGAGTAAACGTATGGATTGAGCACATTAACAAATGCCAGTATGAACATGGTCTCAGTTTGGTAAATAAAGTCATTAGAAAAAAATGATGAAATCAGAAAATTGGGTTTGACTGAAACATCAAGAAAGAGCGTATTATTTTACCTGTAAAATGATGGCATACTGAAAAAACACGCACAAGATTTGCAGTTGACCGCAGTATGTGGCAAGATCTGAAAAGAGCGAGACTTAGCAGAAATAACTAAAATGGAAGAAGGGTAGCATGCTGTCAGAGCCGGTATGGGCATGCGGATGTATGCATGTCAACTGTCATCCAGCCAGGGGCATATGGGTACAAGTGCTCGTATGAAGACTTCTGCTCTGTAGAATAGCCGTGCAACATGGAACGTCTGTAGACGGAACACTCAACTAATCAAATTGGCAAATGGAAAACAACATCAACATAACATAGAACAACAGTTTTTCAATTGTCTGAGGTTTTTCTTTGGGGGGGGGGCGAAGCAGATGAGAAAATTGTTTCCAACACTTTTCCCTTACTGATAAGGCAGACACCACAGCATGGTTCTACAGTTCTCACAACTATTTTAGTCTACCACAGATATCCACAGCATTCTTGTTCGTTTTTCTCATGGTTAAAAATCGCAAATTTATCACCAGGGTTTCTTTATAACGCTGACAACTTCCAAAATGATGTACCGTGGAAATACCCGGCTTTTTGACATCTCGTATATGTGAACTAGACAATGTGTGTGAAGTGTGCATTTGTGATCTTAGTAAACCAAAAAAAAAAAAAAAACCCAAAACAAAACAAAGAAAGGTAACTAGAGCGGGGCGCACTTTGGCCGCTTTTCTCAAACAGTTTTATAAACTCAACTGATACCGTCCTATTTATTCCAACCAATGTATGATATGCACTGTATCCGTATCTCTCATTTTTTTGTAGTCGGTGGAATAGAAGTTCTAGTTTCTGGAGTGGTTTTTGGCGACAATGGGCACTTGTGGTTATGAACGGAGTAATCGACTGGCAAAACATCGTCAATTAGAAAGAGCAAAGACCATTTTGATAAGATCGGGAGCCGCGGAGCCCAGCCTAATTCGGTGTCTATGAAAGACTTATTTAACACAAATCTGTGGGGTCTGTGTTGATGGTGTCCACGTAGTACTATCCTCATATTATCTTTCAAATTAAGTCCAGTGCACTTTAAAAAACCTTGTTAATTCAAACTTACCTTTTATAACGTCGACTTTTCTAAGCAGAGTAACTGTACACACTTGTGCTGAAGTCTGTCCCCTACAAACATGGTCGTAAATACCGGGAGGGTGGTGGTGGTATATCCCCCTCCCATTTTTTTTGGGGGGTGAGCTACTGAATCACCTCCCCCCCCACTTTTTGTAGTGAGAGAAAAATAAAGCTGATTGTGAGGTCTTTATGGACTTCCCAACGACTAAAGTGTATTCAATGTCACTCAAAAAAGGGAAACAATGAAACAAGCCATAAATATGTCATTCCGAGTTAGGAATCTGCATGAATGTAATACATAATTTACATCACTACAAAAATATCAAGAAATAAAACAACTGAAAAATAAATCAAGCTTAATATAAAAATGTTATTATTTGGTGATGCATTACTTTGGTGATACCCATTATTTGTGTGTTTGTTTGCTTGTTAATTTCCAGTTGGTAGGAGTAAACTTGAGGGTTTGGGGGATCTTTCAAAAGAAGAGCAGTTTTGCAGGCTAACCTTGTCACCGTGGATGATGTAATAAGCTTGCAATAACGCAAACACGGCGGAAATGTTAAGATACTGTAAAGAGTCTGATTAGTTGAATGCTTATTAGTCCGACCATAAAATGAGAGTCACTCTCAACAAGACCCATATAATCGGTAGTTCGGATGCAATTTTCTGAATCTTAAGTGGGTTCCGCCAAGGCAGAGCTATATGCTCCCCAGAGGCAAGAGACGAAGGCAACGTCCGCATGGTACTGTCTACTGTCAAAATAAAAAAGTTGTTAATTTGCCACCTCAGAGCTTCAAATATTATTCCCCTGAGAATTAGTCTCTTACCACAGATTCTCTTAATTTCATTGACATCTGGCCGTCGAAACAAAACAACCATAGAGGATGGACACAGGAGTTGCAATTCTGGCACTTCAAAGTGCTCAATGATCGACGCCACCGAGTCAGACGAATAATAGAAAACAATCCAAAAATGCCTGATTACTGCCTGCATCTTGGCCGGACAAGCGGGGCCTGTAATATCCTGTCAATACTTGCGGTGTTTTGCTTGCAATTAAATACAAATTATTTCTTTGACCAGGAAATAGAGAGAGCAAAATCCCTGATATTAGACCTACTTTTAGCATCGTGAATATATATTTTTTTTATTTTGATACACTGTTCCATTACCCATGTAAATTTGTAATTTTTTCTCCTCCCTCCAACACATCAGTTTTCAAAGACTTGGTACCAATTTGGCTAAGGCTGGCCAACAAAATATTGACCACTTCTGGAAAGCTAAGTACATAAAGAACAAAATGCGCACGGGCAGTGATCATGAAATCTCGTAAAATACTCTTTTGTAGCAATGCTGTAATATAAACGATCCAAACAAAACACAAAGTCTTGTATACAACGGGGCTATTTATTCCCAAAATCACTCCAGAAGAAAGCGTTCATTAGGGGCAATGACTGCACTTGTACATTACATTTAAGGCACACAGCGTAATACAAGCAACCGCGCAAGCATTAAATTTGATGTTGTTATGAGATCATACCATGATCAAAGCATGAATGTTCGATGTCCTGCACCTCAGCACAGAAAGTGATGAGGATTACTCGCGAAGAATTGCGGCGGCGATCATGGGTACAAAGGGATATCGTGGTTGTAATACAGAGGGTGCGTAGCCAGCGTACGCTGTGCTCTGGCTATGGACATTACCGGGATTGCCAGAAAGCGTTAATTGGCCAGATGTTAGAGCCCGGGCAGTTCAAACTCCTTCTGTATCCTTCCTCCATGAAACAACTTTTATCATTCGGTATATGAAACAGCTTGGCCGACAAATATTTCGTAAGATCAGCTGGCAATAAATTGGAGTAATGTATGTCAGCCGGTAATCGCATTGACAACAAGTTGTAAATTTACATAATTTATTCACCATTATAAAACTCAAATTGACACAGAGTTTCTCGAAAATTATCCAACCGTATACTGTTATACTTATTCGACAGAGATGTCATTTTATCATTTTTATAGAGAACTTCAAATATGTGGAATGTTCTCCAGATTATGGTTTTAACGTGAATAAAAGTTACAATAAATATTGTTCCAGCTCAGGACAAACTGCAAAACATACAGAACAGAGGAGGTAGGGCATCGAAATTGCCCAAACGAACACACTACAAGTAATGTACAATCAGCCCTATAAAGCCAAGATCGGGATTCATTAAATAAATTCATTCTTAACTCAAGGAAAAATATTGTTCACAATTATTATAGATAATCAACTGAAAATATGAAAAAGAAAGACGAATGTCACCTTTTGCCATGCGTGCGATACTATATAACCGAGAAAGAAAGACAGAAACATGACACTTTTAATTATGAAAAGTGTCATGTTTCTGTCTTTCTTTCTTTAGATTATTCTTCACAGAATGTTGCGGCTGGATTATCCACAGTAACTGGATTTGTCAAGTTTAGGGGTGACTTTGATACATTTCACAATTTTTTCCGAAGTGTATAAGAAACATCGAAATTGCATGGTTATTCAAACCATTCACGTAAACTTACGGGACCAGTGAAAATATCGAACTACGTGAACTGTTTTCGAACAGACCAAATAAAGAAATGTAATATCAAATTATACTGCATTCCACTGAATCCAGTTTTTTGCTGCGATATTTTGGTGAAAGGGAACAGTGATTTATATCTACAAAACATATGGAGCAATCTCAGGTTGATTTCTCATTTCTACCCATATGCCTTTTTTCCTGTAAGGCAGCTAGACCTTGGATGTGAGAATGAAGATGCCTATTCGTTTTGAACACGAAACACTTGCACGCATACGTTTAGGGGTGTTGATACTTTTACTTCGTTTGGGAAGGGATTATACACCACTGATAACAACACTGAGAATAATCTCCCATTCATATCTAACAAAAAAACAAACAAAAAAAAACACGACGGTTACCATTTCGGCAACTTCTTTAGTTCGGAATTGCCCCGAAATGTAACGTCTGAAAGAAACCCAATCAAGGTACAAGCAACCTTCCAAAGAATTGAATTTAAGAATATCCTTATCGATGATGTCAGAAGCATATCAGGTCCAGTGATGATTTATAGAAGAATGATATTACTTCAATTAAACCTGACTCCAGTCAGAGCAACGAACGAGACACACAAATCTTACATATAAATATCCGAAATTTAAATAGACTAACTTTTACCAACTCTAAAAGGCAAAAACTTCAAATCATATGAACAAGCTTTACAAAACCGAGTCCATTTGTTGCCGACCCTGAAGAGTTCATCGATGCCAAATAACAACTGTTGGAATGGTCTAATGCTCTCTTCCTGAAGAAATGAATGATTGGAGAATAAACTCAGCAGGGTATGATAAGAGACCATTCAAGCGCTGCAGGTTGATGAGTTGTTGATGTACATGTTTAACAAGGCATTGATAGCATGAAGCCCTCAATGCCACCTTGTTGGACTGAGTGAAGACTGTAGCTTGGGCTTGAACATGTTAATGGCACACCGTACATGTGCATCACTGTCAAACGTAGAACACGGCAACCAATATAGCTGAATTAATAGGTAACAAGTGCAGAAGCAAATGTGTTACTGCCCCGTCTAGATCATCGTTTCCTCCCGTTTCCACTTGAGCTCCATATTTCAAGTTAACTTCTAAGAGTTTAACAGTTCAGGCCAGTAACAAGATTCTTTCATCATGCCTCTTTCTCTTCTAACGACTCCCCTTCACTCCCGCCCCCGTGTGAGAACGCACAGGCTGCGCCGTTGGGGAGTACTTGTTCTCGGCTGAAGTCATCCCTTTCCAAATCGCGAGGGTTCTCGTGAGAGTCTGTGCAGTTATCGTCACCCTCCCCTTTTCCTGTCGGAACCTCCTGTGTAAACAGAGAGAGGGTTAAACTGCCATCATAAAAAGACTACGGCAAGGCAATGGGCACCATTGGCTGCCCTGTTCATTTTTTTTTCAATGCACCTCGATGGTGTGGAATGGCTAGCGGACGACAAACGCCAACAATGATATCCCGAGTATGAATGCACGTAAATCCTGGGGAATGGAGGTATATATCCCCCAGACCCCCATTTTTGGGGTTGGGCGATTGACCCCCATAAACCTACTTGGAGAACAAAAACTTTAAGCGGATTGTGAAGAAGTTTTTGGACTTCTCAACGACTAAAATGTATTCATAAGGGGAAAGAACTCAGAAAATCCATAAATACAAAATCTGAATGTAAGATTCTGCAGGAATGTGATGCATATTACTGCTGTACTTCTGTATTATGAACATTGCTCCCCCATAGTGTTATTATGGTGTCAGCAGCCT